GGCGGGGTGGGTCGCAGGCCGCAGGCGCCGCTCAACGCGCTGCGAGCGGCCGCCTCTGCGCCGGGGCACCTGCAGGGAGGGCGGGACGCAGGCCCGGCCTGCTGCAGGCCCGTTCCCCCGAGAGGACGCCGCGGGAAGCCATGGCTGGGCCCACCCAGCAAGAGACGGAGATTAATTTCCTTGGCTATGATTCCCACTGAAGCATCGCAGCGAGAGACCCCAGAAAAACTGCCTTTTTACCAGATGATGAAAAGACCTGCCTCCTCTGCCCGTTGAAGCTGCTGCTGAACTTGTAGGCAGCCCTCTCTGGTTTAATAGCCATTGCCCAGAAAATCAGCTGCAAGTGCACAGGCTCCGCTTGCCTGAGGGCCTAGGCATACTGGATTTCTCATGCAGCTCCCGCGTGACAACAGCAATGTGCTGGAAGGTACAACAGAAAAAAGCAGGCTAGGGATAGTTAAGGGGTCATAGATAAGCTACTGCACCACAGTTTACTTCCAGTGACAGTCAGCATGCCAGTTCCAACTCCCGATTGCCAGAGCTGGCGTTGTGTAACACGGCAGAGGAGCACAGACAATTAACGTACCCTGTTAACAGGTCTGTTTGTAACACTACCCAACTCAGACATTGCTTTCTGAGGATGCTTAAATTTAAGAGCTCCTGTGGCATATTGAGGAAGTGCAGAAACAGAATAGGAAAGTGCCGAGACAAGTTTACAACAATTAACTTATTCCTCATTTCAGTTCTTTTACTTCGTTAATCATCATCTGCAAGGATTCTTCTCATCCATGTTTGTTCCTCTGCACGTCCAAGTCATCTCACTCAGATGCTTTTTGGCCATTTGGCATCACAAGGACCAGGAAGCTGTAGTTTTCCAGATTATAGGGTTTATGGTCCATTTTTGGTGTAGAGAATGTGTCAAGAAACGTGACAAAACACAACCTTTGGCATATTAAATATTTATTTTGTAGAATCACTTCTGTATGAAACAGTAGTTTGATTTAAAAGCTGCATCCTGATATAGCCACACAGCCTACTGTATTGTCAACACAAGAAACCTTAGAAGAAGCTTGAACCCATTGAACAGTCCTGTATTGCCATGCAGGAGAATGTGGTCCTTTTTCAGTTTAATGAACACCCTACCAGCTTAAAAGTATGCTGCCTCTTTGGCACACCTTGTTTAGGGTGACCAGCAACTAGAGTGATACTTCTACTACTCAGTTTTGCTGCCATCCATATGAAGTGGTGTCATTTTTGAACAGCAGTTTGCCACATAATCACTACCCCATCCATGTTGTTTGTGATATCTTACAAGAGGCTGCTACCAGTGGAAGAGGAAGAAAAGCTCCACCAGAAGTGTTCAGAATCAGCGTTTTAAGACAAAAATCTCATCAAGAGCTCATGAAGCTTCACAGCTTACTGCTACAGGTTGAAAACAGGAACCTAACAAGTATTTAAAAAAAAAAAAGTATTTATATAGATATCACGAGTCTCCAGCACTATTAATGACAAATCTTTAAACCCTAGGACACCTCAGTTCTAGTGAGCAGAAGACCTAATAAAGAGGTAGAACATGCCACAACCTACTATTCTGCAAGTCCTCCTCTGTTTTCTGTAACAGGCTGTCAGTGTTACAGGTGTACCTGTTATGGAACAGCCACTGTGCTAGCTGGACTTTGATCTAATTCCCTGCAGCATTCTTATTTCCATACCTCATGGTCACCTTAGTAGCCATGAAGGAAAGGAGAAATTTAAGAATGAGCTGCAGGACTGTGGCAAATAGCAGCTTGTTTGCTCCTCAGTGGAATTAACTAAAATCATGCAGAGGGGACAGTATACCCAGGTAATTGCTGAAAGGTTTGTGTTAAAAATAAGGAGTGCAGGGAACAGTGTTATTTCAGGAGGCTGACACCTCTGCTGTTTCATACTTGAATACACTGCAGGCATTTGCCTACGTTATACCACTTTTCAAATGGCAGGAAGTTAAGCAACTAGCTGAAGTCCACAGTACAGCTCAGCACAGCTGTTTAGAAATCTGAAATTTTTGCTAGCTCTACATTCTAGCCGTTAATCATTGTTCCAGGTTATACAACGTCATTCTATTATTCTCCCCTTAATTCAGCCTCAGACTCTAGCACTAAACCAGCAAGTATTTTCTGAAGAATTTGTGAGAGTAAACAGTGGTTTTGCAAATTCATTTTTTATGCTATTCTTCATGTCAGGTAGGGATTGCACATGGCCGAAGTTTGGGCTAACAGAAAGGTAAAAATACGGAGCCCCATTTCTTCCACTTTCAAAACTAAGCTTACTTTATTTAAAAAGCAGCAGCAGGTGATACTGCTACAGCATTGAACTTCTGCTGCCTTTGTGTAGTGTGCAGTCTCCTTTTAGTGATTGCATGAACTATTTATTGAAACGTTAGCAGCAGAGTAAAAATAAACACTGATCTAGACCTTAAGGTAATCAAAACATTATCTGAAGAAGCTGAAGTGGAGTAACCAGAGTCATACAATCAAAGGTCCTCAAATGATACCATCAAAAACTTCCTCAGGGCATTACAGCTATCTAGCATTCCTCCTCCCTCACAGACAGCAAAAGATACAGCACAACTTCAGAAACAGGGCGTGTTTCATCGGCCAGTGAGCATGCTCTAGCTCATACAACCTGCTGTGGGCAAAGCAGGAGAAACGATTACCATCTAGTCTGGCAAATATTTCTTCAGTATCAAATATCAAGGGAATAGTCTTGGACCTGGCAGACCACCATCATAATCAACAACCACTGCAATTCAGCTGGTAAAAGAGCCAAGTCTGACAATCACCTCCATGGGAGGTACACATGACTATAGGGGAGAATGTGCACTGTAAGCAACTCTTGTCCAGCCCTGAGTAAGCTTACCTTTACACAGGGTTTTCCCATGACAAAGGCTTTCTGCCTTGTTTACCCTAGTGATTCCAGGATTTCTGGTGTTTATGAACAGACCCTTTTCCGGTGCACAGGTGGAATTTTAATATGGCAGGCCACAGAAGCTCTTAAGTAATTCTGTTCCCAAGACAGACGAGTGAAAACTTCCACTCTTGTCACCATGGGGACTACAGTCTGCTATAGCACTCCAGCTTCAAGACAATGGCCTCTACAAGCCCTTAACAGTAGTAAGAATGCTATCATTCCAAGTACTGCATTTGCCTAGGATGTGTCCAGGCACAGATTCATATGACATCAGACAGAAGTATGAAGTGACTTGTACACGTGTGACTGTAGTCATTATACAAAGAGCCACTGGACAAAAGAAGAAGGACTCTCCTTGGAACGTCCCTGGCTGCAGCTGAACAAACCACACCTTCTTGCTTTTGTAAATAGAGTCTATCTACCTCCTTTGTAGATACCTCTGGTTGTCTCCCAGACGAAGAGAAAAAGAACCACCAAAAAGTCCACCACAACTCCTCTCTTATGCAAACTAGGTGAGATACAGGTGTCAATGACTGGTCAAGAATTATGACATCTTCTTAGCAGGGCACCAAATAGTGTCAGGATAGAGCAGACAATGGACAGACTTAAATCTATGAAGGAAAAAAAATGAAAAGAAAACATTAGATTGGAATTCTCCATACAAGGAACATACTAGCATTGAATGTGCAGCTGTCTAACAGAGCAGAGAGGGTGGGTCTACCTGCCTTTGGCACAGCAACAAGAGCTGACATGAGAAAATAACCCCATTAGCAGGTTTGATCATCTTACAGTTTGATAAACATGAACAAGGCAGGGAGATCTTGTTTTGGAAGCGGACACTCACCGGGTTGGATCTTGCTGAAGGCCAAACACTCCTCCCACACTCACAACATTGTGTTTGTTCTCAGGGTCCCCGTAACTTAGGGTTACCTGTAGAAGCAAATAAATATTCAGAAATTGTAACACTAATGCAGAAAAACAGAGTGGGGATAGCAGGATTATTAATGAGATATGGAGATAGACTCCAAGGATCCCGTCTAATCTGATCGGTGGATTACATTTGAAAAACAGTGGTTAGTTTTGACATAAGCAATGCTGGCACTGAATGGTAGCTATCAAATGGACCACTGCTCATCTAAAAGCAATCTGGGAGAATAAACAAAGGAGCTGAAAGCTGCATTGCCCTGAAGGACAAGATGAGTTACAACTGTGAGCTTTGTAAGGGCATTAATCCTGCTAATGTCTGTACTTTCACTAAATAACATATGTTCATCCTCACCAGACGCTGCCTGAAGCCTGCAATAGTAGTGTCTTAGCACAGAGGGAAAATAGAAACATTTGGATATTAAATGCTATAAAAAGAACTGCCATGTGACAAACCTGGCAACAAAATTTAGATCTCTGGAACTCCAATTCAGTGCTATTCTTCCACACAAGCATTGTATCAAGAAATTTCAGGTGCCAGGTACAAGACGACATATTTTTCTTTCTAACTGTAGATCTCCTGGATTTTTGGGTTAGCTGTTACAGTCTCAGGGAAACAACGATCACCAATGGAAGGCTGTATTCAGCCTACAGTTAAATTCACTACCACGAGGGAAATTACATCACACTGGAATTTGGCCCCAAATGAACATTTCTGCTGCCTAATACGATTGCCAGGAAAATATAACCAAGCAGTTTGTAGGGGCAAAACCGCACTCTCGTTTTTTCATGGTGCCAAACATTAAGAGGCAGACAAAGCTTCTGGATAGCCTTATAGCTCCATCTACTGCCCATGAGTAAAAAGCCATCCCAGCAATTAAAAAACTACTTGATTTTTTCCCTAAGAAAGACTGATTAAGTTTCTTGAGATTCAGACAAGTTGTTCTTAAAAATGATCAAACATTTAACTATGTCTTACTTATTGAAGAGGTACTTGCTATAGCTGCAACACTAGTCTTTTTGAACAGCGTGAATTAAGACTGAGACTTTGTTAGGCAAAGACAGAAACACTTTCTTACATGGCAGGCAAACTAAATATTGCCTCCTTCTACACTTGCTGCTACTGTGACTCATGGGAAGTCAGAGTTTAGGAGGAGATGGGGAACACCATATTTAGGCTTAATGTAGCAGAATGTGTCCCCAAAGGAGAGGACAGCTATATGACCTAATTGGCTAGGGTGAAAGTATGCTTTTTACCTAAATGAAGGAATCGGACAGGACACAGCTCTGAGTGAGTCTGTAGACATCCTTCTTTGCTGAAGAGTGCTAAGTCTAGGGAGAGGTATTCTGTCCGATCAGGTTGAGGTGTAATTATAAGAACAGGACATGAGGCTTAGCCCTACCTGCTGCAGCACAGACTCGCCTTGTAGCCTCTGCAGATTTTCCAGATGGGAATGGAACAACGGGCTGTGCAGCAGCTTTACCTCCAGCAGCCCTTCAATGATGTAGCCAATAGTGCAGTCATCAGGAAGACGCACTCTTTCTGCAGTACTGATGAAATTACCCAGGCTGTGAGACAGAGCATAGGAGACAAGATGAAATATGCCTTAAAGCCTACCAAACACATATTGATGGAGCTCAGCTAGGAACAGCGTTTACCTGGCCCAGGGACTCATCTTCAGGGCAAGACCTCTGCTGATACAGAACCCTGCTCCACCTGTGGCAAACCAGAATTTCACGGTTGTCTTCTGAAGAGCAACAAGAAAAAACACACAGTAGTTACTAATAATCAGCTTTCTCCATTTGGCTGGGCAGGGAAGGGAACTTGAGGTTTTACTGGATATCACATACTGCCCTTGAGTCAGAACGAGACTACAGATTAATTCCTGTTTCTTTAGGCTGCTGAAAGCCCAGCTAGCTGTTCCCTCAAATGAAATTCTATCCTGGAACTGACAGCGGGTGAACCATCAAGTTAGCACAACTGAAGTACCACACATGAAATGGGAAACTACACCTAAGTCCCACCCAATTCCATCTGTCCCCTGGTCACTCTAGCCAAGGGTCACAGCCAGCTCAGTGTTCCTGAGGAAATCAAAGGTGGTCCATTAGTCACTTGGCTCCATGTCCAAGGAGGCTATTTTGCTGTGCAGAGCCTTCCCTAACAACCTGCTTTGTAACTGACTTTCTGGTCAGTGGATTGATTTATCTTTAGGCCTGTCAGCGTAGGTGACGTGGTGAGGACTTGTCCTTTAGCACATGTACCTTGTGACTGAGATGTTTGCTTCCACTTCTTGGAAACCTAGTAACCACTCAGTATTGGAAATGCCTTATATACTCAGAGAGGCTCTGTCACCCATCTGATGTTGGTTCAAGATGATGACAATGTGATACTGCTCTCAAAACAAACAAACAAAAAAACCCCAAACTCCAACCCAACCCCCAAAACCCTAAAACGAGGAACACTGCCCCCAAAAACACTAAAGGAAGAGTCAAGGTGGGGAGGCCCTACTCACCTCAGTGTGAGGGAGATCACCAACATACATGAGTGAAGGAAGAGAAACAGACATCCACACAGGAGACAAACTCTATTGTACATATGCATATGAGGTCAGATCAAAGATTCATTTAACCCAGCACCCTGAAAATGACCAGTCGCTGAAAATGACCAGTGCCAGGTTTATTGCCTGCAGATTAAATCACTTGTTTTTATGTGGGAATCCTGTGAACTCTGAAGGTTTTAAAAGCCTAGAAGGTCAGGATGTCTCTCAGACTAACTGCACAGTTTGCTTACTGAACCGTCACTTTGGACATGGTCGGCTGCTTCAATGGGATGGTCCAGACTCGGTCGCCCCACATAGACATCCTGGCTGTGTGAGAAGGCGGATAAGAGACGCAGGAGAGTCCGAGGGTTCACATAGTTGTCATCGTCCACATGACAAAACCATCTTCAAACAAAACAAAATAAAGTAACTGCAGAGCAGTAACAAAGAAATGAGTTATAGGTTTACAGCTGAGTCTTAGGCTTTTAGGCTTGGAGCAGAAAGTATTTCCCATTGTTCTGAATTACAGAATTTGGAAGCTGAAAGCACCCACAGATCCTAATTCTGGAAAGAGGCTGAAATTAATAACCCCCTTTAGATCGTGATCCTTTCCACCTTTCAGATGATGGTTGTTTATAAGCATTGCTTCATGCTGTCCTCCCTTCCCTATGCTCACCACCACATTTTAGCTAATACTGCATTCCTTACTGGAACAGAGAAAGTTACTCAAGTTTCCTGTGAACACAGAACTGGAAGAAACAAAGTCAATCAGAACAACATGTTTCACCTACTTTTGCCCAGATTCCAGGAATTTATCATATTCCACAGACATCTTGCAGCAGAGAGCTTGCCGCGTATGGACAGCAGAACAGTTGGTGTTGATCATATGATCCCCTAGAAAAATAAAGATCAGCTCTTTCAGGCTTGAGAAGCATGTGTAGTCCAAAAAAGACTACAAAAGAAGTGCACATTTGGCACTAATACCCTACATCTGAAGTGCATATGGTGCACACATGGAGAGTAAACTGCAGGACAAGCAGGGCTCATGGGTTATGCATATGGCATGCAAGCTGTAGAGTACCTAAAAATGCGTGAGTGCAGGGTATATAAATAGTGCCATAAGACTGTATGCAAAGGAAATGCCTAATATAACTTTGGACCAGAGAGACTTAAGCTTACTAACAGGAAGGAAGTGGGTGCAAAGGTGAACCCAGTATTCAGGAAGTTCCAGGCATCTTGTCCAGGTGGTAAGTAGGAACAGCATATTCTCCTGTGAAAGGAGAAGTTTTCTCCATTTTCTCCATCTTAACTTCCCTAATTGCTTGTATAGCATGAAATAAGGACTGTAGGGAAAGTATGACAGAAACAAAACTCAGTTACAACAGACGGCATGCACCTACGCTACACAGCTTACCTGCTTTCAGGCGTAGCTCCCGATCCTCCCAGTCCGTGAATATGAACGTCTGTGGGAGACAAAAAATGGTGTATCCACATTTGAGAACTTCAGAAACTAATTTCAACTCTGTTCAGTTGCAGTCGGAATTCTGAATGCTTTGTCTTGTTAGTTTATTTCACAGTAGCCATTGGGAGTGGGGTGGGGAGTGGTGGGGGAGAGAACCCCAGCAACTTCAGCCCTTGCCTTATTTGATAAGCATTTGCATTGCAAACCAGAAGAGCCTCATTTCAGTAAAGCATCCAAGATTTTAATCCCCTCATCTCAGGGTACAGACAACCAATTTCCAGATAGGAATGACTGTCTTTTTTGGTAGAACCTCTCTCTGCAATTTCATCTCCTCTCTCTGGCGAGGAGTCATCCACAGCTGTTAAGGAAGCCAAAAGGAAAGAATGAAAGGCAGGGTGGAAAGTGCCAGGTGGTAACACTGTCTTCTCCCAACTGCTGGACAAAATCATGTTAATGTGCTCGGATGGACTGAAATTCCCGAACAAGGGAACAAATTCTATGTTGTTCTATGGAAAAACCTAAGCTGCTGAACTACTCGGTCCACAATACCGGCTTGGATGCATTGGCACTAGGGATCTTTTGCTATCACGTAGTATCTTCCACAGCCACACAAAGGTCAGCAAACCGCTTCTGCTTGGACCACCGATCCCAGATTGCAAGCAGTTAGCGCAATCAACAACGAACTCTGGAGGAGGGTTCAGACGAACTACTCGGGTAAGATGACCTTCCTCGGTCTCACAAGGAAAGCCCTTTTTAACGCAGGGAAGGAAAAACCGGCGAGAAAGCGCAGCGGCTGCCCAGGAAACCGGAGGGCCGAGGCTGCGGCCGCCCGCCCGCCCCCGCTGGCGAAGCCTCACCTGTCCCCTCGCCCGGGAGATCCAGGTTTGGAGGAGCAAGTCCAGCCGGCTCCTGTGGTACTTCCTCGTGGTCTTCACCGCGATGAAGATGTCCTTCAGCTCCAGGCTCTCCCTGCCCGAGCCCCCGGCCGCCCCGAGGCGGCCCTTCCGCGCAGGCTGCGGGCTGCCAGCGAGGCTTCCGCTCCGGCCGCCC